TTTTCCTCCCTCTCTAAAATCAATTAAAAAATATATAAACATATATTTATGGATTGAACTCATCAATTAAAAGGCACAGAGGAGTTTTTGGGATGGATCAGCAAACAAAACAACGATCACTGCCTTCAGGAGACACATCTTAGCTGCAAAGACAGACTCAAAGGGGTGGGAAATGGCATTCAGAGAAAAACAGGTATAACTGTATTTATATCAGACAAAATAGATTTCAAGATATAAAAGGTAACAAGAGACACAGATGGATATTTCATAGTGATAAAGGGGATAATACATCATGAAGACATAACACTTATTACTATATATGCACCCCACCAGAGAGCACCAAAATATATAAAGCAATCACTAACAGAACTAAAGGGAGAAATTGATAAAAATAAATTTATAGTAGGGGACCTGAATACCCCATTGACAGTGATGTACAGATGATCCAAATAGAAAATCAATAAGGAAATATCAGCCTTAAATGATGCATTAGACCAAATAGACATAATCGATATTTACCAAGTGTTTCATCCCAGAACAGTAGGGAAGATATACATTCTTCTCTAGTGCACATGGAATATTCTCAACACACACAAAAGTAGGTTTGCATACCTAAGAAGATTGCGATCATACCAAGGATATTTTCCAACCACAATGCTTTGAAATGGAAAAATCAACTACAAAAAAGAAGCGGAAAAGAACCACAAATATGTGGAGATTAAACAACATGGTGCTAAACAAAGACTGGGTCAAAGAAGAAATAGATCGAAAGATAATAGGGGTAAATGAGAATGACCACGTGACATCAAGATTTGAGAGAAGCAGCAAAAGCGGTACTAAGAAGGAAGTTTACAGCATTACAGACTTACCTCAAGAATAAGAGAAATCTCAACTAAACAACCTAACATTTCACCCTGAGTAACTAGAAAAAGAACAAAGTCGGTAGAAGGAAGGAAATAATAAAAACCAGAGCAGAATTTAACAAAATAGAGAAAAAATACAATCGAAAAATGAATGCAACCAAGAGCTGGTTCTTTGAAAATAATAACATCAAGCTCTGGCCAGTGTGCTCAGTGGTTAGAGCGCTGGTCCACACGCCAGAGGGGTTGCAGGTTCAATCACCGATCAAGGGCACATACTTGGTTGCAAGGTATTGTAGACGTCCACACTTGAAACTTACCTGGTATATAGTGCTGTTAATCAGTCACCCCAATAAACTGAATAAAAATAGCAAAAAGAGAAAAGAAGGGACAGACACAGATAAAGTTCACTATAAATTTTAATCCACGATATAAATGTAACCTAAAGACACACTGAACATCTTGTATTAGAAAATGACACATAATGATCAAGTTCGGGTTTGTAAGTCCTTCTGTGGCACAGACTTCCCTCTCGCCCAGCTCTGTAGCTGCTGAACCACACCGTCCGTCACAGCACACTGTGCAGAGACGACAAGAGAAGTCTGTTCAAATGATGGTCACAGGTGTACTGCTTACCAATCCAAAACACACAGTCCACTTATTCATGAATGAATTCCCTGATGTAGAATGAATTATATGTCTCCCTGCTTATCATGAAATAGTGGATTCTTCTTCCAGTCTAGCCAGGGAACTAACAATTACTTAGTACAGGAGGAAACTTCCATTTTACTTATCTCAACATAGTTACTTCTTAGGTCTGGCGTCACCTATGCAGAAAAAAAGCATTTTTTCTGGAGGCAAGAGCAAGTGATCAGCACTGACATGAAATTTGGCAAATCTGGTGGTTGTCAGCACTGCTTTAGGAATGCTGAGGCATTCAGGTGAATGAAACTATAGTTATTAATAGAAGAGAGTTATTAATGTCCTCTTTTCAGAAGACTGACAAGTTCTTGAGGTTTCTTGATATTCTGTAGAATAGCAAGAACGTCTAAACCAGCCGTGGGCAAACTACGGCCCGCGGGCCGGATCCGGCCCGCTTGAAATGAATAAAACTAAAAAAAAAAAAAAAAGACCGTACCCTTTTATGTAATGATGTTTACTTTGAATTTATAGTAGTTCACACAAACCATCCATGCTTTTGTTCCGGCCCTCCGGTCCAGTTTGAGAACCCATTGTGGCCCTCGAGTTAAAAAGTTTGCCCACCCCTGGTCTAAACTTTCTTCAAATGTTTTAAGGTTGAAAATTACAGTTACATTATTCAGATTTTCGCCTCATTAAATGACACTTCAAATGTATTTAAGTAACTGAGAAAAGGCCGTCAAATTTGGGTTAGGGCTGATACATTTTTAAAATACAATTTTCAGAACAAGCCTTAGACAACATCATGTAAAATTCATTTTTACATCTTTCTGGATAATGCCTGGCAGCCCACGCCTCACTTTCCGGGGGGCTCACAGAGAGAAATAGGTGAGTAGTGAAAATAGAAGTTTTCCTAGGCAAAGATGGGGCTGCCTCTTCCCCTTTTCAAAGTCATCAGGTTCTCATGTGCCCAAAACGTTAAAGACCACACACACCCACACACAGCCTCGTCCCAGAGGGACACAGCCTCCTGTGCTCTCACGCCTCTGAAGACGCAGGGGATGGAGAATATGAACGTTCCCTTCCCGCCAGGAGGCAGTCACTACCTCTGTATGTATGACTCGCAGGCTCACTTCATGAGCATGAGGATAAAATAAATGGCTAGGTTTTCATCTTCTATGACAGTGGTCGGCAAACTGCGGCCCCTGGAGTGTGGCTCTTCCACAAAATACCACGTGCGGGCACGCACGTACAGTGCGATTGAAACTTCGTGGCCACACGCAAGGGGCCAAAGAGCCGCGTGTGGCTCGAGAGCCGCAGTTTGCCGACCACTGTTCTATGACACAACCCGGTACCATTCGACCCAAAGAGGGCAGAATACTACCAAGAGAATTACACAGTGATTGGCAAACAGGCCTAAAATAATTAGGCCTTTTAATTTATAATTCCCTTTTAAAGTTGTCATTTGACAATAACTTCCATCTCAAACAGCAGGTAAAAAAAAATGAGGTGCCATGCTGTATGAAAATATTCCAAGATAAAATAAAGTATAAAACCTGAAAATAACTTCAGTGCTATAGACATTTAGAAAGTTATAATTATTAAAACTCTGACTGTAAAGGTTTTGAGAACAGGTTCATCTCAAAACAATAGTTTATATACTTTGGGAAAAATAGGCCTATTTCAAAGAACTCGAAGTATCATTTACAGATTCCATACCCTCTCTAAGGAATTTCCCCCCTGCAGTGCTGTTTTGTTTTAAAGTCTCTTGGATTCACTTGGCCAGCAATTGCTTCTTCATGCCGACACGAAGCTTTGTTTGTTCATCAATTTTCTGTATATCCCGTCTGGTTTGGCAAGCAGCTCGTCATGGTTCCCACATTCGATAATTTTTCCTCGGTCGAGAACAGCCACCCTATCAGCATTCTTGATGGTGGACAGACGATGGGCGATGATCAGCACCGTCCTTCCTTCCATGAGTCGGTCCAGAGCTTCCTGCACCAGATACTCATTCTCAGCATCCAACGCGCTTGAGCGGGAAACCGGCGAGAAAGCAGAGTCAGTGCCGGGCAGACTGCGGCCCATGCGTTCGCTTTACACGCACAGCGGCCCTGCGCTAGCAGTGAATGTTCACTAGGATCTAGATCAGCGGTTCTCAACCTGTGGGTCGCGACCCTTTTGGGGGTCGAATGACCCTTTCACAGGGGTCGCCCAAGACCATCGGAAAACACATATATAATGACATATTGTTTTTGTGATGAATCATGATGCTTTAATTGCGTTCAATTTGTAACAATGAAATTGGGGGTCACCACAACATGAGGAACTGTATGAAAGGGTCACGGCATTAGGAAGGTCGAGAACCGCTGAATTCTAGATGGTAACTTCTTGGGTTTACTTTACATGTTTGATAGTATAACGGTGCTATTAACCAGGAAGCGGGGCCTCTACATTTCCGCAAAACTTGTCACATAAGTAGAAGCTGATGGGAGTGATCGGGGACTCATCATACCGGTGTCTCACCTGGAGCTACAACCCTCCCTCCAGCTCAGCCTGCCCCTACCTCCTGACTGTCACTCACTCAGACAGACTCGGTCATTTTAAAGTAGGGAAAGGGCCCTGGCCGGTTTGGCTCGGTGGATGGAGTGTCGGCCTGCAGACTCAGGGGTCCCAGGTTCGATTCCAGTCAAGGGCATGTACCTTGGCTGCAGGCACATCCCCAGTGGGGAGTGTGCGGGAGGCAGCTGATCGATGTTTCTCTCTCATTGATGTTTCTAACTCTCTATCCCTCTCCCTTCCTCTCTGAAAAAAATCAATAAAAATATATTAAAAAATAAATAAATAAAGTAGGGAAAGGGCCCTGGCAGTGGCAACGCTGTGAAGTACAGGAAGGTGTGTCTTTGGAAAAGGACGCCTTCGCTTTATATAATCACATGTAGGACTGAGCTATCCTCACCTGGTGGCTTCATCCAGGAGGAGAATTTTGGGATTCTAAAGAAGGAAAAACATGAAAAAGAAAACATTGTTATTAGAAAAACACAAACTCCCAAGAATGAAAATAAATGAAGTGCCGTACATGATACAACATGATGAACACTGAAAACCTTCTGCTCAGTGAGTGAGTCAGACGCGAAACGCTACATGTCGTGTGACTCTACAGGGAGTGTCCAGAGTAGGCGCATCCCTAGCGACAGAGCAGGTCCGTGGTCCCTGGGGGCTGGGGTCGCTGGGGCCACAAGGCAGGGGGTGTGGGTGACTGCGACAGCGGACGGCATCTCTTTCCGGGGTGATGACAAGGTCCTAACATTGCTTCTGGGATGGATACACAACACTAAATACACGAAAACCCACTGAATTATCATTTCTCATGGGTGAGTTGTAGAGTGTGTGAATGGTATCACAACAGAACTGCTGCAGAGAAAGAGAACCACAGCTCGTAGGTGACTGTGATGAGCACAGAACGGGGGCTGGAGGCGACTTGAGACCGTATCACAGTGACCCCGGGGCTGGGTGCTGCTCTCAGGGCACTTTTTCCTGCTGTCAATCAACCGCAGTGCGAGGCGGCTCTGAAGTGAGTCCCACGGAGGCCAGGCCCTCCAGGCCCTGCCTGCTGTTCCGCTGGGAGCAGCACGTAAGACGAAAACGTAAGGGGAGCTGATGCACTAACACGCTCCATCCTAGCTTGGCCCGGGGGTTGATCACAAGAAAGGAAAACGTGTCCACCAAACCTCCGCCCCATCGTTCTCAGCAGCGCTATTCACAAGGGCCCCGAACCGGAAACAGCCCCGATGTCATCCGTGGTGAACGGATACACAGCCCGTGGGCCAGCCCCAGGGAGGGTACCACTCAGCCATAGAGAGGAAGAGAGTTCTGACAGAGGCGACAACATGAGGAAACGCAAAGACATAAGCTAGTGAGACAGGCTAACGACCATCTCTTGTCGGATTCCATCGAGCTGAGATGACCAGAGAGGCCAGTCTAGACAGCGAGCAGATGAGCTGCGCCTGAGGCCGAGGCGGGAATGGGGAAAGGCGACACATGGTACAAGGGTTTATCTGAGGGGGATAGAAATGCTCTAACATAAAAAGGAAATATTTGTTTTGTTTTGATTGTGCGATGGCTGAGTAACTGTAAATTTACTGTAAGTCACTGGAAGTACATTGAAAATGGAAGTTCCTGGTGTGTAAGTTATGCTTCAATAAAGCAGTTTTTTAAATCACTTATCCATCGGAGGAGAGTCGTTAAATAACAGAGGAAAGACTAACCCTTCCTAAAACATCCCATGTCTGACTTCCAGCTAAAATGCGTTCCCTTTCCTCTCAGAAGTCTTGGACAAGTATTTCAAGTCTGTATTACTCAGCTTAGCAGCTGATTACGGATTTTACCAGCAAGCACACTGGTCCTGTTCTAGATTCTGATACGATCACTGTTTCATTCGTTACACTGTCTGCTTCTCCCTCTGTCAAGGCCTGGCCTCCTCATAGCCCCAAAATAGTTGTTAAGTCTGGACAGCGTGCACTCAGCGAAGGCCTCACTCCTCTCTCACCAGAACTGTCAATCATGTATCTTCCCTCCCCTCCAAGGAAAAAGGGAAGAACAGGGAGAAGGAAAATAGGAAATTACAAGTTACAAGGTCTCTATGAAAAGCTAAACAACCGCCCCGCGGGGCCGCAGGCTCACCTTCAGCAGCGCCCGGGCGATGGCGATCCGCTGCTTCTGCCCACCTGGCAACGACAGGGGTGTTTTAATGCAAAGCCTGAACACCAATTCCTGGTAACGGGCTTTTCTAAGAAGCCATGTGGCAACTGGAAGGCAGCTTCTCCCAGGCAGCCCTCGCTAAGACAGATGGCAGAACGGAAACCTGTTTTAAAACATCCTCCTCCTCATTAACCTCAGGATTCACAGTAACAAATATTATGCTAGCTAACATTAACTGAGGTGTTCCAATGCACCAGGCCTTTTTTCTTTTCTTTTCTAATCCTCACCCCAGGATATTTTCCCATTGATTTTTCCCCAGTTTCTTCTCTGGGCCGGGGAAAGAGGAGCATAACATGAGGAAGGAAGGGCCAGGGGTGACGCTCTGAGGCAGATGCTCTCTGCTCCCGTCCTCTGCGTGTTCTGCTCAGGAACCTGGGGTTCCCTGGGCTCCTGGTTTCCCTGTGGCCCTTCCCCTGCAGGTGCAGACTCCGCTCTGTCACTTCCCAGCTTGGACAGCTTCTCTTGTGCCCCAGTGAAAAGGGAACAGTGATAGGATCTGCTTCATAGGGTTTTTTAAGATTAAATGAGATAATACGTGTAATGCGTTTAGAAAATGCCTGGCACAGCCCTAGCCGGTTTGGCTCAGTGGATAGAGCGTCGGCCTGCGGACTGAAGGGTCCCAGGTTCGATTCTGGTCAAGGGCACATGCCCAGGTTGCGGGCTCAATCCCAGTGTGGGGCGTGCAGGAGGCAGGGATCAGTGACTCTCTCTCCTGATTGATGTTTCTCTCTCTCTGTCCCTCCCTCTTCCTCTCTGACATCAATAGAAATACATTTAAAAACAGAACAACAGGCACCTGAGAGAAGAACACCCTTTTCTCCGACCATAGTGCTGAACCCCTGCGGGAAGCTGCGGATGAAAGCAGTTGCGTTGGCGACTTCCGCCACCTTCTCCACCTGCTCAGCAGTCACCGCAGAAGGGTCCTCGGCCCCGTAAGCAATGTTCTCAGCAATTGAGCAAGAGAACAAAATTGGTTCCTGCAAATTGGAGATAAAACATGTTGACCTCAAAGTTCAAAACAGACTTCACACGCCTGGCGAACACCGTGGGGCTCACTCCGCGAAGCTCTTACATCTGAGAGACCATTAAACTGCCCCCAAAGAGCACATGCTGCTTTCCTGGCTCCACCTCCTCATTCCTCATGCATCGCCCAGCAGGACTGATCTCATCATCTGTAGCTCCCACCCCACTGCAGGGAGGGAGATCCATGGCAGACGCCTGCACAGCACTTGGCACACAGTAGGCACTTCATAAATGCAAGCTCCCTCTTCTTGGGAGTCGTGAGGCCCTGGGAGACCACAAGCCCCTCTGCATTTTCCGGCGGCCTGCCTTCCACCGAGGACATTGCTTTTTGAAATATACACAAACCAGCTCTAGCTGGTTCAGCTCAGTGGATAAAGCATCGTCCTGCGGACTGAAGGGTTCCGGGTTTGATTCCAGTCAAGGGCACGTGCCCAGGTTGCAGGCTCAGTTCCCAGTGTGGGGCGTGCAGGAGGCAGCTGATCAATGATTCCCTCTCATCATGGATGTTTCTATCTCTCTCTCCCTCTCCCTTCCTCTCTGAAATCAATGAAAATATATTTTAAGAATAAATAAAAAATAAATTTAAAAAGTCAGTGCTTCAGCGGGTTAAAGTGCGTGAGGCCCTGAGAAACGGCACTGTTTACAAACCTACGCAATCTGCCACGTGAGACCAGTTCAGTGCATCTGAAAAACCGCCATCCTTCTCACGGAGACTCAAGACCAAGCAAAAAGCGAGCAACAAATGCAGCTTTAAAAGAAAAACACAATAAAAATACCCCCTTCCTCCTACCTGACTCACTGTCCCGATCTTGGATCTCAGCCAGACGGGGTTCAGCTGGCGGATGTCACGACCGTCCAGACTGATGGTCCCTGTGGAGGGAGGAAAGCCACGGGCGTAAACACCAGGTCGGGCAGGGAGGCTCCAGGCGCCGTTTTTGAAAGGTTGAAAGTCTCACAAAAGGAGAGACCGACAGACGCCACCCCGGGACGATCTTACATTAAACCGGACGCCGTTGGGCCTTTTTAAAGTCTCCTGAGCATTCTGAAGTCGAAATAAATTCTCCCCCCAGCTCTTTGCACATGGAGCCCTCGTGCAGGGCACAGGCGTGAGACGGGCGAGAACAGCCCCGCCCTCCCTCCGAGGTGAGGACCCACCCGCTCACCTGAAAGGGGGTCGTACAGCCTCAGCAGGAGGGAAACCACCGTGGATTTGCCGGACCCACTGGGGCCCACCAGCGCCGTGACGGACCCCGAGGGGATGGAGAGGCTGAAGTCCTGGAAGATGGGCACCTCGGGGCGAGCCGGGTAGGTGAAGTGCACGTTCTTGAACTCCAGCGCACCCTGGAAGCTCTTCTCGTTCAAGGTCAGCCCCTCTGAAACGGAAGACGGAGCGTCATCACTCAGTGCGGAGGGCAGTCCCAGGTGAACGCAGCTCCCACCTGTCTGACTAACATGCCGCCCCCAGCAGCCCTGGGGGTGCTACCCGGGCAAGTCAGGAAGAGGCCTCTGTCTACCCTTAGCTGCTCCGCACGCCCCCCAGTCAAGGCAGTGCACAGGCCCTGTTTGCTTCTCGCAGCCCCGAGAGGTGGAAGGTACTGTCCTAGCTCCCCTGCAGGTCACTGTGCTCACAGCCAACCACCTGCCCGAGCGACCACGGCCTGGAGGGGGCTCCCGCCGCCCTGAGCCAGCCTCTGTCGCTCCCTTGCTCCCGTGTTCTGAGAGAATGACGACACACCCCAGCCACGGAGCAGAGGGGGCAGGGTCCGTGCTGCCTGGTGCCCCCTGGGCTACTTCCCCTGCCCCGGTCCTGGAGTGCACTGGGCAATACTGGGCGTTCGCCAGCAAGGCCCCAGGAGGGCTTGGGGATGGTCACAGCTCACGGCCACTCCTCCTGAGCCCTGAGGACTGGCCTCCCGGGAAGCAGCTGGCCAAGACCATCAGTACATCAGTACCAGCATTCCTCACGCCATCCCCTAAAACCAATACATGCAGAGGCTTTTACACGTATGATGCCTCTTCCTTTCCTCCTGCCCCCCATACACGCATCACAACCACCAAGGAGAACAGATCGGGGGACGAGCAGGGCCCTGGCCCCTGGCAACAGGGCCCCTGCGGGGAGGTGAGCGGTGGGCGGCACAGCCTGTGGTCAGCCCCGTGCTTCCAGGGACATCCCGGGGCCCCCCGCCCCGCTGCTGACCTCCCCCCTCGTGCCCCTCCTGCAGGCAGGGCAGGGAGCACACCTGTGACCCCCACGAGAAAGGGCAAAGGCCCTGCAGACCCACCATCGAAAGGCAGCCCCGGCTTCCTCTCCAGCAGCTCCCAGAGGCGGCCCCCGGCGCCCAGTCCTTTCATCAGCTCCGAGTAGAATGAGCTCAGACCTGAGGGGAGACGCTACATCCGTCACCGGTGCCGGCCACAGCCGTCGGCTGCTCCCCTCCCGCTGGGCAAAGTGACAGGTGCTTTTAACGTAAAACCTGACGCTTTCAAAGAAGGACCCGAGGCAGCTGCCTGGGAACCCATGGGCAGAATCCCCTCCGTCTCATACCCTCGTTCTCCTTCAGCGTCTCCTCCTCCGATTTCCCTGATTTCTAATGAGGATTCAGTGGTTGGTCAGGGAATTTACAAACACATACGGCCGCACTAATCAACCACTGAATTCAAAGGACAGTGCTACAGAGGAAATTCTGCCGAGCCAGAAACATAGCAATATAAATAAAATATAATGCTTAGCCTATACTTGAAGGGAAATAAAGTACCCCAATATTCATACCTACAAAAACCAAACCTCCCTTTTAGGCATTCAAAATTCAACTTTTACTGGGCTACAGACCGAACAGGAATCTGGCAATGTTAAATACCCCAACAATCTCTTCTTAAAGTGACCTCTGTCCCACCCAGTAGGTTTTTTTTCGTTTTATTGGTGGTTTCCCTCGCTGTGCAGAACGTTTTTAATTTGAGGCAGTCCCATTTGTTTCTTTTTTCTTTTGTTTCCTTTGCTCAGGGAGACATATCCAAAAAAATACTGCTAAGACTGATGTCAAAGGGAGTTTTCTGGTTTTAGGTCTTCTGTGTACCAGTATTTAAGTCTTTCATATATTTTGAGCTTATTTTTGTATATCATGTAAGAGAGTGGTCTAGTTTCCTATCTTTTCCTGCATATATCTATCCAGTTTTCCCAACACCATTTACTGATGAGACTCATTTCCCTCTTGTATAATCCTGTCTCTCTTACTGTAGATTAATTGACCATCTGACTGTGGGTTTATTTCTGGGCTTTCTGACTTGAATAAACATTTCTCCAGAGAAGACGCACAGATGGCCAACAGACATGAAAAGATGCTCAGTATCACGTGTTATCAGGGAAATGCAAGTCAAAACCACAATGATATCCCGTCACACCTGTCAGAATGGCTACTGTCAAAAGTCAACCAATAGTAAGTCCTGGATAGGATGTGAAGAGATGGGGACTTGTGGGCGCTGGTGGTGGGGTTGTGAAGGGGGGCAGCCACTATGGAAAACAGTATGGGGGTCCTCAGAAGATGAAACATGGTCGAGTGGGGATAAGATTCTAGGACAGAGCTTTTTCAGGTGCAGTTACTTGCTGAGAGATGGAACAATAGGAGAGTGAAGTTTTACTTTCAGAAACAAGAACCGGATTTTCCACGTGTAACTCCCCACGCCCGGTTAGATCATATACCTCCGATGCTCAATCCAACCCAGAAAGCGTACATGAGGAAGGAGGAGAGCTCGCCCACGGTCATGTGGGCGCTGCCCATCAGCAGCCCGCCTTTGTACAGCACGGAGAGCACGATCAGGTTCCCAGAGAGCCCGGTCTGTCGAGTGAAAGAAACGCAGAAGTCAGGGGGGAGGCAGAGACCCACACAGGAGACAGCAAGACCACGGCCTGTAACCCCTTCCTCATTAACTATCACGGCAAGGCTTCTCCAAACTATTACGTTTTCCTCTGAATTTCAAATGAAGACGTACTTTAAAAACACTGCGATATCCAAAGAAATAATCTCATCAACACGGAAACCTAGAAGCTGGGTCACCCCTCAGGTTCCTATTCTACTCTATTTGCTCGGTGTGCAAAAGAAAAAAATAACATGAAGGATTCCTCCCCTAACTGGAGGCAGTGAGCACATAACTGACATGTGTGTTTACATAGGCTAACGTGACGCCCTGGGCACGGACGGGCCAGGAGACCGGAGTCCGGGATCTCTGATCCACCTTGACCGGTCGGATGTGGGGTCTCGGGTGCGCTGCCTCCTCGGGGCCTGTTCCTTACCTGCTGAATCCCGGCCATTGTGCGTCACCTGTGCAGTTCTGTCCAGATTTGACATGTTACGAACCTGGTGAGCTTCTAGGTCAGTGTCCTATCTATTCATTATGATCAGTTTGGGGCACTTCCTTCTCGAAGTGCACTGAGGTTATGCTTTTGGAAACAGCAGAAGACGCGGGGAACCTGTTCAAACAGACTGCTGGCCCCACCGCAGCGTTTCCGGTTCAACAGGTCTGGAAGGGGCGGACAGTCTGCCTGTCTCAGCAGCACCCACGTGACGCTGAGAACCAGTGCCTGATCCCACAGTGTCTGGTCTCCCCTGCCCACTGCCTTTTCCTTCCTTACATTTATTGGTTTCCTCCTCTCTCACAAAAACACTCTAAGGAAGACAATTCTTAGTCCTGAGGTAGAATAGACTCACTTTCTATCTATGGCCAGAGTCACAGAATAGCACTCTCTCCCAATGACAACATCCGCAACGATGCACTTACTGCTCCGAAGAAGCCCGCCCGAGCGATCGCCTCTTTCCTTGCTAACTGCATCACGAAGTCCACTTTGCTGGTGTATTTCTCGATTTCAGTCATCTCTTTCCCGAAAGCTCGAACAGTTCTGATGTTTCCGATGCGTTCCTCGGCTAGCTGGGAGAACAAAGACATTTCGGGGGGCGGAGGGGGGGGGGCCAAGGTCACATGTCAAGAGTTCTGGAGGCACAACTGGAAACCGGCTCTCATTTTTAAGACACGAGCAATGGAAGTTGCAGGGACACGTGACTTAGTCAAAAACAGGCTGCAAAGGAGAGAGTCCCGAACAATCTTATTTTTGGAAACATCGATCTGTGCAGATGCACAGCTTATACAGAGGTACATGGAAAGATAAACTGGAGGGTATACAGCTAGATACAGAACTATGTCTTCACGCCGAGAAAAAGATATAAAAAGGACAGGCTCCAAGATATTAATAATGTTCATTGAGAGGCAGGCTGATGCCTATTATTTTTTCCCTTTATATTTTCGAAGAGAAACATGGATGGTTTTTGTAATACGAAAATGTAAGAATTATTTTTAATTTTTTAAGAAGACAATACTGGACAGCATTGCAAAGCTACCTTTATTAATGAACGGAGAACAGAGTGGCACCCAGAAAGTGTTTGGAAAATATGGTTAGCTTTTTTGTCCTACAAGAAATAGTGATGGGAAGAAGGAAGAAGTCCAGGTCATGTTCAGTTAAGTTGGATCTATTCTGACACGTGGGTAGTGATCTAGTCTAGAAGGCAGAGTATTTCAGTTCTAACGTTAAGGAAAAGTAAGCAGTTTTTGCCAAGTCTGAGCACACTTCCTAGGGTCCGCCCACAGGTGGCTCTGAGCTCACTCAGGGGGGACCGTGCCAAGGAAGGCCTGTACCTACCTGCGTGGCTTGTGCCAGGGAGTCCTGAGTGAGCTTGGTCAGTTTCCGGAGGTATCGTCCATAAATCACGGCAAGGATGGATATTGGAGGCACCACACTCAAAACGAAAGTGGCCAGATGCGGCGAGACAAAAAACTGTCAGAAACAAAGCCAGAAGGTATTTGTTACACGGAGTAGCAGCAAATTCTCACGACCTATTGTAGGTGCGTGTGTGTGTGTGTGTGTGTGTGTGTGTGTGTGTTTCAGTGAAGAGACAGGCTGTACTGGTGGAATTTCTCATAAAACCCACGAATACTGAGCATGCCACACAGGAGTCACGTGACCAAGAGCTGCTGCAGACAGGGCGGGAGCCTTTGACCCCCGCCGCTCTGGAAGCACGTGGATCTGAACTCAGCATGAGGAGCGACTCTTGACAGCTGGACCTGCTCAAAACAGCTGACTTCCAGAAGTGGCCTGGTGGGGTTTCCGGTCAACCCTGCAATTTGGTGACCGTATCTTAAATGGTACTAGCACCCCTTCAACAAATTATTAAGATCTGCCAAATCTCATTTGCTCAGAAAATAGCATAATCAGAACAAGGCTCTGCCCACACGTGGTATTTTGTGGAAGAGCCACACTCAAGGGGCCAAAGAGCCGCAGTTTGCCGACCACGGACTTAGGACAACACAAAGGCGTGGGAGTGGCGAGAGGCGTCTGGAAGGAGGGGGACTGATCTTCCCTCCCAGGCGAGGAGGAGAGGAAGGGGTCCCTCGGGCAGGGGTGGCACCGCCTGTGGTGGCAGGTGTGACTTCCTGTCTTCCCTCGGACCCACTGCTCAGCACCAGAAGGTTCCTTCCCCCTGCTGCCTTCGAGCATCCTCAGAAAGCCCAGGCCACACGCCACCTTTTCTAAAGCAGCGGTCCTGCCTCCAGAGAGGACTGCGTCCTGGGACATGCAGTGCAAGAGGCCATGCGGGAAGCAGGTGGCGCTCTGGCCAGTGGCTACAGAGCGAAGAGAGCAGCTCACCCCGAGCTCCTCCCGGACACGAGAGGCCTGGCGCAGGCCCAGCCCTGACCAGAAGGTGCCGACGCAGGGGGGGCCGACGTACCATCATGCCGATCCCGACCGAGGCCTGGGCCCCGGCCCGGAGCCCGTCCGAGAGGTTTTCGGTCACCGAGCGGCCCAGGAGCGCCGTGTCCGAGGAGAGGCGGTTGATCAGCTCGCCCGTGCGGGTCTTGTCAAAGAAAGCCACCTCCTGCCTCAGGACGGAGGAGAACAAGGAAGCTCGCAGCCGGTTCACGATGCGCTGCCCTGCAAAAGCCAACGGGGCCGGGTCAGCGAGGGGCCCGAGGTCAGCACCTCTCCGCCTGCGGCCTCGGAGGCTCGGCTGCTGCCCTGTTGGTCCCTGGGGACACTCAGCGGGGCCCTGGCAGCTGGGCAGGAAGCTGCCAGAAATGAGCATTATTCTCCCTTCGCCCCTGCAGCCGGGAGGCGGAGGAGAGGCTACAGGGATCGTGCAAATATAACCTGACTGAGATGCTCACGACTTATTTACAAAGACGTTTTACTACAGTGACTGCTCGAGAGCTAATGGTGTCCTTCCTCGGCAACCTTTTCTGAATTGAACTTCCAAATGGCAACAACTGGTTAATTATCTACCGAGTATTTATTTTATTCACTCAATGGCCAGCAACCGACGTGGAGCCGGGCGTCCGGGGCGCTGTCGTGACTGTGGCGGGC